GAGAGTTGTGCATCCATTTGATGGTGGGTACCGGCGTGCCCTTGTAGGGGACCTCAACACGGAAGGAGGTGCCAGCACGGACAGTGATCACACGTTGGTACTTGAGATCTAGGTCCAGTTTGGGAGGTACTGTTTAGAGGAGGAAAAAGAACCACAGGGTAAGGCAGTTTGCAATGACCCACAAAGTATAGTACCAAAATTACCAAGGCAAGCTACAACTGCGTTCTTGTTTGCATATTCTTTCCAAAAATCCTAAATAAAACTTCTGTTTACAAGATTGAGACTGCCATTTGAAAATGACGCCTTGTTCCTTTGAAACTTTTTTCCCAGTCTTGTGCAAGTTTGCACATTACTGCATAAATATCATCACAGGCCTTTATTGTCCATCTTGGGTCACATCTAATAAGCTGATACCAACCTGGAGGATTTTCAGCGATGACGCTCTGTGACGGCTCACTCGGGTTACCAGTTCCAGCTCGGTTGACAGCAGAAACTCGGAACTCGTACTCACTGCCTCTCAACAACCGACTAACCTGTGATAACCAAAAACATCATCTCTTGCATTCTCGCTAAAATTAATAAATTTAAATAGTGTGGACCTATGCTTTCCATTCAACAGATAGTCATCTCCATAATCACAAATATTCCACTGGGAGATTTTTGCCATAAATATCTGAGTTTAAAGCATTATGAAGTCAGCCATCAATTTTAAAGGCACTTTTTAGCATGATTCCAAAGAAACTGGTTTACTTTGTTCTAAAAGTGTTAAGAAGTTGCTACAACTTTAATAGACAATTTATGTTCTAGCACCTCTATCATATTAATTTGTTGTACATACTTTGAATGTAGTGTCAGGGATAGGTGTGAGCGTTGCCTTAACCCAGCGTGGACTGGTAGTCTGCCTCATCTCTACCACATAGCCAGTAACCGGTGCTCCACCGTCGTGTAGAGGTGGACTCCAGGACAAGGTCATGGAATCGACGGTGATGTTGGAGACATCAGGAGCGTCAGGGGCATCAGGAACATCTGAGACAAGAGCACAAGAAATACGTCAGTATACACGTATCCAGGGAATTACAAGTGAATCTATTTGTCCCTCACGCAACTGTGGTAATTAAAAAACCTGCCAGTACACTTTTTTTCTCACGTGAAGTTAGTTATGTTAATAATCTCGGTTCCCAAAGAAGAACTTTAAGTTTAAAATTCTGATATAATGCTTCTCTGATACATTTCAAAAGAGATTTTGATTAAAGAACTTCCATTAAAACTGAAAGTTTGACTGCTTTAGAGTATTCTCAAGACTTCCTCATGTTATATGGTTATAGAATTTTGAAATGCTGTCTACACTCACTGTATTGTCCCTTGGGCATCACTGCCTGTCCCTCCAATGGCTCACTGGTACCAAACTGATTAACAGCCATCACTCTAAACTGGTATCTCTTGTACTCCTTCAAGCCAGTCACTCGGTAGGTCAAGTCCGTGATGTTTTTCTCTGTTACTGGTTTCCACTTGTAGTCAGACTCTCCTTGCTTCTCCACGATGTAGTTGAAGATGCGACTGCCTCCATCATCTTGAGGAGGTCGCCACGATAGGGTGACTGCATTCTCGGTCACGTCGGTTTGCTCTAAGGGTCCACGAGGGGGACTGGGCTTGTCGAAGATCTTGATTTCAATCTTGGTGGAGTCACTACCGGCGTCGTTTTTGACTGTCACCGTGTAATTCCCTGCATCGGACCTCTCGCAGTTCTTGATGATCATGGCGACTGCGCGATCAGTTGTCTCTACCTTCATGCGCTGCGACGATGGCAGTGATGCACCCTCTCTAGTCCAGGTTGTGCGAGGCACAGGGAAGCCGGTGTATGGTACCTCTACTCTCACGGTTGTACCAACCTTGGCCGTGATGGGCTCTTTGACTTCTCCAAGTTTAGGGGTAACTGTGAAGGGAGTATTTAAAAAATCAGATCAACTACTGAGAAATTTGTTAGAGTTGAATTTAGGACATGAAAAGCTCTTTAAAAATCATTTACTTTTAATTAGAAATATGTTAAGTTTCTATTCCATACAGTTGAAATGTCTTCAGGTATAACGTAAGATTGAAAATTCTTCAGAATAGGCAAAAAAGTTTTTAAAAATCTTCAGAAGTTTAAGCAATATCTGAAAACTGGAACCTTTCTTACCTGCTGCCTCTTCTGCCTTGACTCTGATGGAGGGCTCGCTGGGAGCTCCCACACCCACACGATTCTCAGCCAAAATCCTGAACTGATACTCTCCACCGCGGGTGAGTCTGGTGATAATGCAGGATGTTTCATCTCCATCCAACTTGGCCACTTTGCTCCAGTAGATGCTGGTGCGGTCCTTCTTCTCGATGACGTAGCCGATTATTTCAGCCCCGCCAGTGAATGACGGGGGTAGCCAGGACAGACTGACTGAATCTGCTGTGGTGTCGGTGACCTGAGGGGTGCTAGGTGCACCAGGGACTTCTGCATTGACAAGAAATGCTAAACAAATGAATTTCAGGGGATGAGCAATTTCTTATGGAGTTTGCTACACTGGACTCAGGTATAACAGAAATATAAATCTGGAGTATGTTGTGGGTTTTAGGTTTTCCCAAATCTCAGACAAAAAACTGAAAAGACTGAATGTTAGCTTTAGCTCACCTAAAAACTGGTGTAAATTATTAACAAATATCAACTTGATAAAGCAAAATGTCCTCTTATGGTGAAAAACACTGCTTGTGTGCAGTAATAAAGGTCTGGACAGTTTTAGAAAACCAAAGACTTGAAGGCTTTATGGAAGAGAATTTTGGTCTGCAGAGGAAGCAATTGGCAAATAGAACTTCCAGGGGCAGGTGAACCTTGAATAATTATAAATGATACTGAACAGCTTGACGGATTTACCATATTTGCTCTTCATCAAGATCTTTTCAGTTCCTTCTAACGGTTCACTCTCCCCAATCTTATTGATGGCGATCACCCTGAAGCCATACTCTGCCTTTTCCATCAAGTTCTGCACTCTGTGGGTGGTGTTACTGACATGGACTGGCAGACGAGACCATGACGTCCTCTTCATGTCACGCTTCTCGATGGCGTAATGGGTGACACGGCTTCCACCGTCGTCTGACGGCGGGTGCCAGGACAGGGTGACAAAGGTGCTGTCCATGTCCAGAATCTCAAGAGGACCTTGGGGTGGGCTTGGACGATCAAGAACCTTCAAGTGAAAGAAACATACAGAGAAAAATATGTGGTGTATGTTTTTCATGAAGGTGACAGCTAAGAAGGGTTACTACTGAGAATTTTCTCAATCGCTCCAACCCTCACACAAATTAACTTTTTTAGTGCCAGCACTGTATTTGTGTGTTTAACATTTTTTCTTCAATGTTCACACAGTACAAGAAGAATATCTAAATCCGTGAATGATGTTGCTTACACATCTAATGTTATCCAAAATGGAGAAAAAAGCATTATCCAAAATGCTCACCTGGACATGAATAATTGCATTCTCGCTTCCCGCTGAGTTGCTGACGCTCAGCTTGTAAGCACCCTCATCTGCCTTGACACAGTTCTTGGCTGTCAAGACCGTCTCGCGATCACTGGTCTCAATCTTGACTCGGGTTGATGACACCAGCGGGATGCCGTCCTTGTCCCACTTGACCACTGGTCTGGGTTGGGCTTTGTAGGGGACATCCAGATGGAAGGTGGTGCCGGCTCTGACCACCAGTGTGTCACGATACTTGTTCAGGTCAAGTTTCGGTGCAACTATAAAGAAAAAAGTAATCATTCTCATTCAAATTCATTCCAATGCTGTTAGATTTTCAAAGCACTGCATACAGTTTTGAAAAAGATGCCACCTGCAGGGGTAAATTTCAGTAACTATTAAGATTATAATCACTGGGCAAGCAATACTTTAAAAAAATCATGATATAATATACAATGCTTTTCGCCATTAAAGGGGCCACTGGGAATGCGCATCAACATCGTATAATTCATTTATACCTTTTACTATCAAATTGCAGGTCGGTTACTAGAAAGTTTATGATCATTGAAGTCAAACAGAGGAATGAATAATGTGAAAAGGATGCCTTTGCAATAGTTCCTTTAAATGACCTGGGAACGACATTTGGCAACTCGAAAGCAGTTTTCAGTTTTTCTCAAGTGAGGTAAGCCATTTTCTCTCAATCTCAAATAGATCCCTACCTGCAGGTCCTTTGGCGTCAGTAGCGTCACTTGGTTTACCCATCCCGGCGTCGTTGACGGCAACCACTCGGTACTGATACATCGCTCCCTTGGGAATATCCCTGACCACGTAGCTGCAGTCCCTCACTGGTTCCTTGGTGATAGGGGACCAGCGTGTGCTGTAACGATCTGCTCGTTCGATGGTGTAACCGGTAATGGGATTGCCTCCATCGTGGGCTGGTGGAGTCCAGGAGAGAGTCAGGGAGGTGCCAGTCACGTCTGAGATTTCAGGAACTCCTGGTGCACTTGGAGTGTCTAGAGAACAGTACATATGATATTAAATAAATGAAACTCTTTAGTCTTTCTTCAACAAAACTGGAAACAATGAAAACATTCATATTTGTTCTTTTGAAATGCTTTTTAAACACTGCAATGAAGAAAGTTGGAAACAGATGGAAATGGTTGAATCCTGACAATCACGACTGGAATTTAAACAAACGCAGTTTGCATAATTGAGAACTCATTTAAAGCTAAATTACAGGAACTATACTGTATAAACAGAATAACAAGTTCACATTTGAAAAGGTTAGACAGCCTCATATTTCTATCCTTACAGAATTTTTCTGAAAGGTACAATTAAAATTTGTTTAGGAATTACACAAAGTTCAAAAGTTGGTTCCATCTACACTGATGAACAAGTCACATATTTCTCCTTCTGCAATTTAATGAAAAGTGACCTTTGATATCTTGAAGTCTTACTGACATCCAACAGGATGAAATCTTACCAAATGGAGCCTTGGCCACGACTGGTCTGCAAGGCTCGCTCGGTGTACCAACTCCAGCTTTGTTCTCAGCACTCACTCGGAACTCGTACTGACTACCCTCCCTCAGGTTGGTGAGTGTGTACTCAGTCTCCTGGATTGAGCGGGTGGTCACTCGGGTATACTTGAAGCCGAAGGGCTCTCTCTTCTCGAGGATGTAGCCGGTGATCTTGCTTCCTCCATCTGACAATGGAGGGGACCAGGTGAGTCTGATGGTTGACTTGGTAGTGTCAGAGACAGTTGGGGCTTCAGGCTGGCCAGGAACATCTGAATCAAAACCAGACACAACCAAAACAATTATTAGTCAATACCTTTTAGGAAAATATATCAAAAGCAACATTCAGCATCTAATTGGGACATTAGACGCAATTTTCCAATGATATCATAATCTCTGGTTACACAAAATGGTGGACTTCAAAATTACTGCAGTTTCAATATGATCTCCCAACTTCTAATGTTTTAGTACTGGTTCTGGAAAGACCTTGGTTCCGGACAGACTGTTGCAAAATATTTGAGAAGCAGCAATCAACTTTTAAGTCTTCCAAATAGTCACAAATCCTGTCAGTCAATTATTATCCAGTGTTTATTGAAAAAAAATAAGGGAGAGAAGCATAGTTACAAAAATGGACAGTACTGTTTTATTTCTTCATCGTGGTCAGGCTTATTACAAGAGATGTAAAAGAATAACATGTCAGAAGATCAATTTGAGAAGAGGTGACAAACTCCCCAAATGCAGATGCTTGTGTAAGGCTTGTCAGGTGAACCATAAAACACAGATGAAACCAAAACAAACAGGAAACAAATTAAGAAATGCGAAACAAAGACAGAAAAAACATAGGTTAAGACAGAGAAAACATAGGTTACCCAAAAAGAACAAAAAAAATAAAAATAACAATGAAGAATAAAATTACATTTAAAAAATGAACCTGTAAAATGTGAACTCAACCTACCATAAGCTGGTTTTGCCATCTTGGTCTCGGATGAGTCACTTGGTGGACCAAACCCAGCCTTGTTCTCAGCCAAGATCCTAAACTGGTACTCCGACTTCTCCACTAGATCCCTGACAGTGTATGTCGTCTCTGCTATGCTCAGTTGATTCACAGGTACCCATCGCAGGGCGAGTTTTTCCTTCTTTTGGATGACGTAGCCGATGATCTTGGAACCACCATCGGAGAGAGGTGGGGACCACTCGAGTGTCATCGAAGTTGCTGTTGTTTCATTGATGGACGGAGTACTAGGAGGGCCTGGTACATCTACAAAGAAAAGAAACAAGAAAATGGATGACAATAATGCACAAAATCCCATTCTTAAAACTGTAAAGACCTTAAAGTGAAGAAACACTGCTCAAAAATATAGAGTGATGACATTTAGACAGATTTTTCAATGCACACAAACAGTCCCCCAAAATATAGGTATGGAATGTAAATGGTTAGTGTATGGCATGCATGTGGAAAAACTAGGCTGAAGCCAGGTCAGGTATTTTTGTTTATGGCTATGGATAGCTACAGTACCTAACAAATCAAAAACTATAGGCCTGAAATCATTGTGACTAATAGGAAGTGATCTGATATTTCTTACCATATGGAGGTTTAGCCACTCTTGGCTGACTGGACATGCTAGGTTTGCTGTTGCCTGCCTTATTGACAGCGACAACTCGGAACTGGTACTCGGTCCCCTCACGAAGACCTCCGACAGTTCCTGAGGTGCCAGTGAATGTCTCAACAGGTGTCCAACGAGTGCTGAAGGGCTCTTGCTTCTCAACAGTATAGCCTGTGATTGGACTGCCACCATCGGAAGATGGAGGTGACCAAGAGAGGGTCATGGATGTACTAGTGATGTCGGAGATTGTTGGGGCAGAAGGTGTACCTGGTATTTCTGCCAAACGGAAATAAATAAACAGGTAATAAAACCCTGAAGGTGAGCTGTGTAGGAAAAGGTATGTATCACGCATATTTTATCCAAAACCAGAAACAATTCAGTTCCTTGAAAATAAGATATTAGAAGCAAGTAAAACGGTAGCCGCCTCACTGTAATTGATGACGGCAAGGAGAAGCACAGACTAAATTCTGGAAGGAATTGAAAAATAAAAAACAGAAGCAACAAGTTTCAATGGTGATTAAGCCTCATACTTTCCTCAAACAATGCTCTCAATTTGCATATGCAGAGTGAAATAGACGACCTTTAATAAGTGGAGAAATTTTGGCTTGTCAAATGTTACTTTAAGACTGAACTTGCTTTGAAAAAAAAAGTAGAACACAACTTACTAAATGGTGGTTTTATCACTGTAGGTCTAGATGGCTCACTTATCCGTCCCACGCCAGCCTTGTTCTCGGCACTGACCCTAAACTCATACTCAAATCCTTCCTTCAAGTCAGGCACTGTCATCTCGGTCTCTAGGATTGGGATGCGGTTAACTCTAGTCCAGCGGGAGCTGTATTGGTCTTTCTTCTCGATGATGTAGCCTGTGATGGGTGCTCCACCGTCTGAGTGAGGCGGGCTCCAGGTCAGGGAGGCAGAGTTGGAAGTTGTTTCTCTGACGTTGACATTCTCAGGAGAATCAGGCACATCTAGAAGGAAAATTGAGCATTAAAACAAATGATTTCCATGATAATATTGTAAGCCCTAAATCAGTCGCTTGCATGAAATTATGTAACAAGTATTCAAAGCAATATGCAAATGTTGAAGCTGTCCTCTTTGGTAATCAAAACCCGAAATATCTTTTCCAGTAGTACACAGACAGAGTGTTTTGGTACAACTGTAAGACAATCATTAACTCTGATATTTAAAACAAGCTTCCCGCTTTGCTCATATGTCACAGCATTCTTTTTAAACATTTACTTCATGGAGTGAAGTGAACAAGTTTGTTCAATGAATAACCTTGAAGTTCTGAAACTGAAATCTACGTCAGAAATACTGACAAAGAGAAACCATCCAGCACCAAAACTTCAAGATGGAACCTTCAAGACAAAATTGAAAGACAGACCACACAGAAGCTATCATTAGAGATACTTACCATAAGGAGGCTTAGCAATAGCAGCATCAGATGGCTCACTAGGCTTGCCAACACCTGCCTGGTTCTCAGCGCTCACTCTGAACTCATACTCCATCTTGAAACTCAGTCCCGTGGCTTGGAAAGTGGTATCAGTGACTGAGTAACGGTTGATCTTCTGCCAGCGAGTGCTGAAACGATCTCTCTTCTCGATGATGTAGCTGATGATCTTGCTGCCACCGTCTGAGGCTGGTGGGGCCCAGGTGATAGTCATTTCTGTGCTGTCTGTCTTGGTTATCTGTGGTTTGCCAGGGGCATCTGGCACATCTGTGAGTGATGATAAAAAAATTCATCCAAATTCAATTGAGGATTGAGGACATATACAATCTTTTCACTCCTTATACAGTAAGCTAAGAAAGCATTTCTAAGGAAACTTCTTACATGAATATATCAATGAAAATTCCCAGTTGGCATTATCAATTCAAATGATTGCAAACAAACACATTTTTATCAAAAAAGTCTTTGTTTGAAGAGAGGTTTTATTGCAGATTATGCAATTTTTTCCTTATTTAAAGATGGTACGATGTTATTTCATTAAAGTTCTCCATAATAACCACTATTAGCATTTCTTTCAAGATAAATTCTCCCTGGGTGTACAAACTTAACATATAGGCTTGTTTTTGAGTAGAACTCTATTTAGACCGTCATAATGGCTTTTCTAGCTTTAAGAGTCTACAAAAGAGCAGTTATAAGCAGTTTAAAATTAAAAATGCTTGTAAAATGCAGTTGTAAAATCTACCCAAGTGACTGATGAAATTAAAGATGGTGCTCACCATATGGAGGTCTAGCCACTCGGGCAGCTGATGGCTCACTTGTTCTTCCAACGCCTGCCTTATTCTCAGCACTGACTCGGAACTCGTACTTCTTATCTGCTGTCAGATCTCGCACAGTGTATGTCGTATCTGTCAATGGTTCCCTGTGCGCCTTAATCCAGCGACTGGTGCTAAGATCGTGTCTCTCAATGATGTAACCGGTGATGGGGCTACCGCCGTCACTGACGGGTGGTGCCCAAGATAGAGTCATGGACGAGTTTGTGGATTCTAGGATTGTCGGGGCACTTGGTGCATCGGGAACATCTGTGAACAACGTGAATTTATAGTGTGATAAAAATATATTTGAGCAAGAATCAGGTGCCATGACTTTCTTCTGAAAATGCAACCAGGAACAACTTTGCAATTTAAAAATGATGTAATTTTTTTAGACAAGCGATGACCAGCTGGTAACTCTTTACTGCAAAGTTTATATGAATTACAACCTTGGAAGAGTTAATTTATGAGGGATATAAAGTGAGGGTTAAGGTTTTAGAATCCATAACTCACCATATGGAGCCTTAGCTGTGAATCGGTTGGATGAGTCGCTTGGTTTGCCAACTCCAGCCTTGTTTGTAGCACTAATGCGGAATTCATAATCGTTCCCCTCAGATAGGCCACGTACATTGAATGAGGTTGCATCTGCATTCACCTGATCACATCAAAGAAGGATTTGTTTCTGAAAAGCTGCTCTTTTTCATTGCATACTTTTCAAGTAAGTGTCACTGGTTTCTGATAACATTTTAATAACCTACTAATCCAGTTTCAGACATGCAACACTTATCCATAAATCAATCAACTTTGATTTTCCTCACTCAATTCAGTTTCAGTTTTTTAAACTAAACAAATGTTAATTTGTTTGTAATTAACGGGGTTTGCCCTTACTCAACGTATATATATTGATAAACACTGTATGCTCAGAGCTTGTCCGAGAGCTTGCGACAAAAAGTCACAAGCTTACTCGGGTGGGACTCACGACCTCCTGCTTACTAGTGCAGACGTCTTAACCACTCGACCACCGAGCTTGCCGGAGTCGGCTGGCCGGTCCAGGTCAGGTGAAGCAGCGGGTACCGCGAACCATTTTCAAGATGTATTTTTGCATTGGGAAGATGTTAATTTATATAACAAATGTTTGCATTCTATTATCAAAGTTTGGGGGAGAACTTTAACAAGTCCAAATTAAAAAATTTACTAACCTCATCCACTTTAGTCCAACGCGTTGAGAACTTATCCTTCTTTTCAATGACGTAACCTGTGAGGGCAGCACCACCATCATCGCTGGGTGGAGACCAACTCAAAAGGGCAGTATTTGCAGTGACTTCAGAGACCGTAGGTGTGTCTGGTGATCCTGGTGCATCTGAGAAAGGAGGAAAAAAGAGAATTCATAGAATGCAGAATTGTCAACATTTCCAGACATTAGAGAAAGAATATGTAGTTATATATTTTTTGTAACAAACTGTTTAAAAAAACTGAGAAGTGAGAAAAATCACTTCTAATTTCTTCACTAAGTTGCATGAGTCTGTTTTTACCCTCTCCGAAACCATAACAGGTTTTAATGAGAGCATTGTACAAGGAAGTTCCATAACAATTTGAAGACAATATAAGCCACTTCAAAGGCTTACTCTTTCACATAGCTTACCGTATGGTGGTTTGGCTATGGCTTGGTCAGATGGCTCACTGAACTGACCAGGGCCAGCTTTGTTCTCTGCAGCTACCCTGAAGACATACTTGCTGCCCTCGGTCAGCCGAGTCACAGTGTGGGTTGTCTCCAAAACAGACGCACTGATCTTGGTCCAGCGCATGGAAAAGTCTTGTCTCATTTCCAGGATGTAGTTGGTGACTGGACTGCCGTTGTCAGACTTGGGCGGAGACCAGGCGAGGGTCATTGAGGTCGCGGTGATGTTGGAGATCTGTGGTGTGCCTGGAGCATCTGGCACATCTACATGATGGTATACGACAAGGATTTATGATCATACAAAGTATTTTATCCATCATTTGAACAATTACCTATTGACTCAGTTTCATAAGATATACAGGTAAGTTTAGTAAAAATAGCAGCCTAAATAGGAATACATGCAGCGAAATAAGAAGCTTGATTCAATAAAAATGAAAGAAAGTGACTTAATATTCCAATGTGTTAATATTCCAAGAGGTAATGTACTTCTTTCGCCAAGCATTCTCCAACAACACCAAAGACAACTGGGATTTAAAGATGGCTTAAAGAGTATAGCATTATAGTTTACAGGTTCCAATCCATTTTTGTCTTTTCCTTCATTTCATCTATGAATAAAAAATGCTTAATATGCTGTGATCAAAGTGATGAGTTTAAAAACAAAAGCTGTCTATATTAAAAGAGTACTGAAGAAAGACCAGCAGTTCAGAAATATGCGTAAATTGGTATGACGAGTCAGGAATAAGACGCATACCATATGGAGCCTTGGCAAGTTTTGGTTGTGAGGCAACGCCCGGTTTGCCAGTTCCTGCCTTGTTCTCAGCAATGACCCTGAATTCGTACTCTGTTCCTTCTCTCAGGTTGGGCACAGTGAAAGACGTGTCTGAGATGGGTACCCTATTGGCCACCGTCCAACCCATCTTGCTGGTGTCCTTACGCTCCACGATGTAGCCTGTGATGGGGCTGCCGCCATCGGATGCTGGTGGGGACCAGTGAAGAGTCATTGAGTTGGGTGTAATGTCTGTGACTTCAGGGGAACTAGGAGAGCCAGGAACATCTATAAAAGGACAGTAAATATATCAAACCATTAGAGATATTTATCCTGGGGAAAACAACCTTTTAGGGTGATAAACTCTTGTTTACAATTTCTTAACTGAGATTTGATGGTTATATCTACATCACTCACTTTTCCTTCTTAAACCTAAAAATGATTAAAAGGTCAGCTAGAATCGAACTTACTGTAGGGTGGTTTGGCAACAGTGGGTCTTGTTGGCTCACTAAACTTCCCGGCCCCTGCCTTGTTCTGACCGGCTACTCGGAACTCATACTCGATTCCCTCTGTCAGACCAGTCACTGTGTAGGATGCCTCGGGTACTTCTCGCTTGGTCACCGGCGTCCAGAGAGTGCTGAACCGCTCTCTCTTTTCAATGAGGTAGCCGGTGATTGGACTGCCTCCATCTGATTCCGGCTCAGACCAGGAGAGGTGCATGGAGGAAGAGGTGGTGTCTGAGATGACTGGCATTCCTGGAGCACCAGGTACATCTATAAGGAGTAACAACAAATGTTTTGAAAAAGCCGGCTTTCAGTGAGTAATACCCTTGCTCATGTTGACTTAAGTGTGTACACAGAATCACTGCAAAAATGAAGTCTGTATAATTCCAATAGATTCCTAGAAGAGCAGAGCCAATGGGAGATATCAATACCATTAGTTTGAAAATCAATCGTGATTGATGCACTGAAGTGCGCATTTTAACTATGAACAAATTGCCAGGTATATGATTGTTGTTGAAAACGTGTCTTTTACTGTAATTTCAATTAGACACAAATGCCGAGACTCCAGAGAGTGTACAGATAAGTTAAGGGACAGTCTTTCTTTTTTATCTGTAACAAGTGCAAAATAAGTGCCCAATTGTTATTTCAATACAAAAATATTGCATCATTGTTGACAAAAAAGGGCTTACCATAAGGTGGTTTTGCTTTGGCGACATCTGAAACATTACTTGGACTACCGACTCCAGCCTTGTTAACAGCAAATACCCGGAACTCGTACTCAGAACCCTCCATCAATCCAGTAGCCTTGTAGGTGACATCGTTGACAGGTTCGCGGGTGATGCGAGTCCAGTGTCTGCCCATGGCGTCCTTCCTCTCAATGTGGTAGCCCAGGATGGGAGTGCCTCCGTCAAAGAGAGGTTCAGCCCAGTGCAGGCTCATGGTGGACTCAGTGACCTTGGTGATCTGAGGAGCGCTGGGTGCACCAGGAACATCTGTTGGGAGATACTTGAGTTAGCGATTGAAAAACTTATTCAAGGACTCATTTAAAAGTGCCAAAAAAGGATGTAGGCATGAACAAAAGTCAAGTTACTGAGAATGGAAATCCAAAATCAAACCAACAGTTTAGTCACAAGTGAATCTCCAAATTCAGTCACAAAGTCTACTCTAGAAAGTCATACAGTCTTCTATACATGTTTATCTCTTGTACCACTCTGAAAAAGAAAGCACTCTACTTGATGTTTCACATTCAGCACAAACTTACACTATGTTCATTTCAGGAGATTAGTTGGATTCACAGTCATTTTGTACAAATTATTTCATACCAGAAATACTCCATACCGTATGGTGCCTTGGCAACTGTTGGTTCTGTTGGCTCGCAAGGCTTCCCTTCACCTCCTCTATTCTCGGCAACCACCCTGAACTGGTACTCCTCACCCTCAGACAGTCCCGGTATCCTCAATGTAGTATCCTGGGTAGGTTCGCGGTTGACTCTTGTCCAGCGTAGGCCAAAGCGATCCTTCTTCTCGACGTAGTAGCCAGTGATGGGACTGCCTCCGTCAGTCTTAGGAGGTGACCAGGAGAGGGTCATAGAATCGGCCGTGATGTCTGAGATGTAAGGAGCAGCTGGTGATGACGGGGATTCTGTGTTTCAAATATCACAGAAAATGGTGCCCAATTTCAAAACTTTTCACAAAGCTACCATTAAATTTGTCTATACAGCAAATGTTATGCACTGTAGCTCTTGATGATTACAGATTGTGAGTTTTTCTTCTGTGTAACAACGTTTTTTAAATAGTTGCCCTACCTTTGATCATTACAATGGAGGGTGCTCACCAAGTTTAAATTGTTGGAGGGAAAGTAATGATCTTGAGGGACAGGGCACTAAAGGTTTAGCCTATAATATTTTAGAAAGCCGGTTTCAAAGTAATCTGGACAAATCCAGCAGAGTATCATGAGACATTCACGATGGCATCCCTTAGTGGTGGAAAGCACTGTGTAGCATTTTGTCAGGAGTAATGGTCATGTAACATTGGCTCCATACAAAGGCTATCAAAAGTACACGGTGCTTGTCGCCATTAGTGAGGGCCACTGTAAGTGACTGGTGATAGTGCTACCATGGTCACCGAATTCATCTATCAAGCAAGAGACTTACCATAAGGCGGCTTTGCCTTGACCAAACTGGATGGCTCACTTGGTTTACCAACACCTGCTCTGTTCTCAGCTGAGACACGGAACTCGTACTCTGAACCTTCCTTCAGATCAGTCACAGTGAAGGTTGTTTCTGTGATGTTGTACTTGTTGACGCGAGTCCAGCGGGAAGTGTAGCGATCGCGCTTCTCAATGATGTAGTTGGTGATGGGACTGCCCCCGTCTGAGAATGGCTCTGCCCATGTGAGAACCATTGATGAGGATGTGACATCAGATACATCCGGAGTGCCTGGTGTATCAGGGACATCTGTAAATCACGGGACAGAAATGTTGTGACTTGATCTATTTAACATACGCGGTACTACAAACTGACAAAACAGAGCAAGTAATTCTAAAATGACACCAGATCATTTAGACTGATATGTTGCTTTAGGTATCAGGGAAGGCCACAGTACCAGCTGGAGGCATATCACAAGAACAATGGATCATTTTGGTGCTTGTGGTTTTTACCAATGGGGAACCAACTGTTTGCTAGGGAAGGGGGCAGCTCAGCGTCTTTGGCCAGTTCCCCCTTCCCCTTTGGCGACTGGCCAACTGGCATTACATTTTTTTCCCATGAAACACCTCAAACTCTTCAATCTGCTATCTTTGATGTCAGACCATGCTTCAAATGGGTACTGTTGTCTTTGGCCTACCTTACAAGCGGTGGTAAATGGACAAGTCAAACCAGACTCAGTGAAATCTAAATCTAGCATTGTTTGAAGTTATCTCTTCTTCGGTGTTAGGCCACAGAGTACATATCCATTGGAAGTTCTCTGACAATTATTATTATACGTTAAGGAAGGCAGAGGGTCAGAGATTTTGTAGCTTTCATTCTGATAGACATTTACATGAATGGCATATTCTCACAAACTGATACTCAATTTCAAATGTGGCTTCAACTTACCATAAGGAGTCTTGGCCACTTTGCTCTCCGAAGGCTCACTAGCAGGTCCGGTTCCTGCCTTGTTCTCACCAGAAACTCGGAACTCATACGCAGTCCCCTCCATCAAACCCTGCACGGTAAACTCAGTCTCTGAGATCCTGTCACGAGTCACTCGCATCCAACGAGTAGAGAACTTATCCTTACGCTCCAGGATGTAGTTGGTGATTGGACTGCCGCCATCGGAGTCTGGAGGGGACCAGCTAACAGTCATCTTGGTGGTATCGATGTGTGATATCTGTGGTCTTGATGGAGCACCAGGGACATCTATAAAAAAATTGTTTTTTGTAGCAACTGTTAGAGATATACTTAAATTAAAACACGCTTTGTTGGTGCATTCAGTTGTCAAAGAAAATTCACACACCAGTATCCTCCTAAATCCACATCACCAAGAAGTTTCCACAGTTGATGAATAACTGAAGTAGATACAACTGTGCTCTTAGTCTTACCATAAGGATGTTTGGCAACCTTTGCCGTTGATTCCTCACTGGGTTTGCTGATGCCTGCAGCATTCTCAGCGCTCACCCTGTACTTGTACTCGCAGCCTTCCCTCAGGTCAGTCACAGTGTAACTCAAGTCCTTAACCGTGTACTTATTGACGCGGACCCAGCGACTACTGCTTGTGTCACACCTCTCGATGATGTAGCCTGTGAGTGGACTACCTCCATCAGAAGTTGGTGCAGTCCATGACAGGGTCATGGAAGTGGGTTGGATGTTGGAGATGTCTGGAGCACCAGGCTGGCTTGGCACATCTGTAGATGAAAAGAAAAAAGAAACGAAATGGTAAACAATATTCCGGTAAATTTTCATGTACTAAATCCTGACATATCACTTTCCACAATATAAATTTGCCAATTGTATTTCAAGATGACAAATACAAAATAATAACAATTTACAAAAATATTTCATGTGAATTTCTTCTGATAAAACAGACCCATTTCTCTGTCTGACACACAACCTAGAAGCCATTCATTTTCTAAAAAACCTCACCACTACAGAGCAACTAGGTCTTACATGTGTCACTATGAAGCGATTCCTAACTTTCTGAATGCAAGAATGTGGAAATGATGATTTTGATAAAAGTAACTAAAGTACTTACCGTATGGTAGCTTGGCAATGAACGTCTCTGACACCGTGCTTGGTTTGCCGACCCCTGCCTTGTTCTCAGCACTCACTCTGAACTCATAGCTGCCACCCTCCTTCAGGGATGACACCTTGAAGGAAGTTGATGTCACCTCCTGGGGATTGACTCGCTTCCAGTAGGTGGAGAATTGCTCCTTGATCTCGATGATGTAGGTGATGATACGACTGCCTCCGTCTGATTTGGGCACAGTCCAATTGACTGTCATGGAGGTTGAGTTGATATCGGAGGCTGTTGGCTTCCCAGGCGCATCCGGAACATCTGAAACACAAAGTGCTTGGACAATTGAACAAATTGTTTCACCGAAATCTTTCATTATGAAAAATTGAAATGTGAAAAACAAAATAAGCTTACAGAAGATCCCTACTCATTGTATCAACTACTTGTCAGCCAGTCAATGAGTCAAAACAAGCTCTGGGTATCAGTGAAGAGGAGGTTATGGTTCTAAAGGTTCCTCCCCCCCCAAAGTTCCCCTATGGATTGTCCTCAGATAATAGTAATGCACAATTCAATAAGCCAGTTAGGTATTTCAATATGCCAACATCATTTTTAGAACAAAACAACAGATGTCGTGTTAGTTGAAACGTGTTTTGTGTGTGCGTATTTCAGCGTATAAAAGGCCGGCTTTGCACATGTCTGATGTTCTCCACTAACTCCCAGTTTGAGCAAGCACTACTGAAATACCAAACTGTCTGGAATAAACTTGCTTATAATAATTAACTTGTTTAATACACGAACTATCTCTGTGAACTCACCGACAATGCACAGTATCAAAACCACAATTCTTTCAGGCTTACCATAGGGTGGTTTCACGATGACTTTACCAGTGTCTTGGCTCGGTTTGCCAGGTCCGGCCTTGTTCTCAGCCGTCACTCTAAACTGTAGCTCCTCCCCTTCCTTGAGACCGTTGACGGTGAAGCTGGTATCCGGAGTACGACCGACCTCCGTCCAACGGATGCTGAATGGTTCTTTCTTCTCGATGATGTAATTGGTGATTTGATCACCGCCGTCGTCTTTGGGTTTGCTCCAGGAGAGACTGACGGAGCGAGATGTTGAATCAGTCACTTCAGGAATGCTTGGTGCATTGGGAGCAACTGTTTTCAACAAAAAGAAAAAGGGGTTTGTTGTAAGTTTACTGTAACATAAGCTTTTATAAATATCATCTTCAGCTGGTATATGGACTATTCAGACTCTTGATATAAACGAGCAAATCGAAATGAAAAGTTTGCAGCTTCCATATTAAAATTAAAAAGTTAAATGGTTCAACCTTAATGTGTTGATACTTTGCGACTGGAACATGACTATTTTCTATTCATCTTGATTGACAAATCTGTACAGCCCAACAAACAAAGAGACTACATAATTATTTCAACTTTTTCATGACTGCTAGTTTTCACCTATTCAACTTTGTTATTAAGCCAGCAAGTGCTTGGTAGCGACAAAGTTCCTATAAGAAATGTACCACATAACCTAAATATTTCTTCTACACCCACAGCAAGAGTTTCACTTACCGTACAATGGTTTGGTAGTCACACTATCCGACGGTGCACTAGGTTTGCCAACGCCAGCCTTGTTGACAGCGCTCACCCTGAACTCATACTCACTCCCTTCCATCAAGTCTCTCACGGTGAAGGATGTCTCGGTGATCTCGTACCGGCTGCATTTGGTCCAGGGGCCCATTCCGTCTTCCCGTTTCTCGATGATGTGACCTGTGATGGGGCTACCACCGTTGGATGATGGAGGTGACCATGTGATAGAAGCAGAGCTGGATGTTGAGCTGGTCACTTTTGGTTTGCCAGGGGCATCTGGCACACCTAAAAAATAAGTCAGAGAAGAAATTCCAAATTAAGAATGAATTATCTCTAAGACCTTAAACTTGTTATAAGCACACATCAAACACTTTTTAATTAAAGTATAAAGAATATTTTTCTTGCTGTGAGATTGGTTTATACTTCAAGTTAGACTGAGAACAAAATAAAATCAGAATACCTAAAACTGATGGTGACTGTAACACTGATATTGAAGCTACCCCAATTAATTTCCACCACACTGCTTTTAATTTGAAATATTACCTTTATTGTATCATTTAGGATTGAAAAACTTCAAATTCAAGCAGTATTACAAACTATTAGCTGAGAAGAAGCCTTGTTTACAACGGGGTAAAAATGAGCTAATGCTATTGGTTGGGAAGAGGCTATTTACCATATGGTTTCTTGGGAGTGACTGTTGCTGATGGCTCGCTGGGTTTGCCTACGCCAGCCTTGTTCTCGGCACTCACTCGGAACGCGTACTGAGCTCCCTCTTTTAGCTTGGTTGCAGTGAATTCTGTGTCAGTGATACGCTCTCTGTTTATCTGTTATATGAGGGAACAAATATAAATGTTCAAGCAACAAAAGTTGTTTATATTTCCTTATTGGCAATTCTTCTAAACAGTACATGAATATAAAAACAACTGTTTGTTGATATTAATTAAAAATAAAGGTTAGAAATGACTGTCCAACTAACAAAATGTTAGCAAGTTATCTTCTAAATTGTTGGTTTTGTTTGTACACGAAGTACTTTCAGTAATCTGTCACGAAAAAAGAAATGAAAATTTTTCTATGAAGAGGCAGATTTATCTGTAAATACCTGAGTCCATCTGCTAGTGAATTCCTCCTTCATCTCAATGATGTAGCCCGAGATCTTGGCTCCCCCGTCGGATGCTGGTGGTGACCATGACAACATGACAGAGTGCTCCTGGATGTTACTTGTTGTTGGTCGGCTGGGTGCATCAGGAACATCTGAGGAAAACAATTTCCATTCAGATTTGTAGATGTGACTATTATTAGATAGATCAGAGTAAACATTAACAGTAACAATTTGCAGTGTTGCAGTCCAGCTGATAACGTTCTTTCATAAACCAGTGTTCATTTGAATTGCTTGTGACTCGACTTTTGACAAGATGACTTGTGATAGACTTGCATGAGTTTCTGATAGATTAAGCTACAACACTGGACACTGGTTTATGTACAGTGAGCTTCATTTACATCTATCTATGTAAACGGGCGTCTTCACGATGAAAGGATGAAATCGTCTTCAATAGCTGCTTTTCCCGCTTACCATAAGCGTCCTTGGCAACAAAGCTTGCAGATGGCCTGCTTGGCTCACTGAGTCCTGCCTTATTCTCAGCTCTCACTCTGAACTCATACTCCCTGCCAGGACTCAGTTTGGTGATCTTGCACTCTGTGTCCCGAGGTTTGGCTGCCGCGGTCCATCGGGTGGAGTACTGCTCCTTCATTTCCACCACGTAGCCTGTGATCTTGCTACCTCCGTCTGATATGGGTGGTTGCCATGACACCGAGGCAGATGTCTTGGTGATGTCTGACACCTCAGGAGTGCTAGGAGGTTCAGGGATGTCTACCAAATAAACGTTCAAAATTAAATTCCAATGATCAAAATTTTGTAACCAAAATAAATAATAATACTGGGCACTGCAAAATACACTAATCCATCATTACTGGCACTAAGAGCACATCACTGTTACCCCTGTTCACCAGGCCCATAAACATTCCGCAAAACGTTGCAGCTTAAGGATAGTATACAGCTCAATGCTGCCATTTCAGGTGCAAATGGTTAATTGAACACAACTGTCTGTGCCCTCAGCTTTCCATTTATATACCCCTGGGTGAAGAGTGATAAGTAAGGGCAAAGCGATTTTTCTAACTCTGACCCCACTTTCGGGTGTTACAAGCCCTAACCAATAGGCCATATGCCTTACTGCTGTACAAATGGATCAAGCTCAAATGCACTTCACGATACAATCAACCAGAAGCAACCTGTCTTACAATTAGTTTCAGTTTAGATAACTAATAACAATGCCATTCCTTACCATAGGGTGGTTTAACCAAGATCTGCTGAGTAGGCTCACTTGGTTTTCCAAGTCCAGCCTTGTTCTCAGCAATCACTCTAAACTCATACTCAGCATTTGTCATCAAGTCAGGGACAACCAGCCTAGTCTCCTTCACAGGCATTCTGTTGACTCGCACCCAGCGGTCTTTGGCAACATCCCTCCTCTCCACATAGTAACCGGTAATTTTGCTGCCACCATCAGCCTGTGGTGGAGACCAGGTAAGCGTGACTGAGTTCTCCTGGATGTTGGAGACATCCGGACCACTGGGAGCATCGGGCGGCTGGATGTGATAGGTGGACACATTGCTAGGTTTACTTGAACCAGCTTGGTTCTCGGCGATGATTCTGAAATCGCACTCCTGTCCCTCGGACAGTCCCTTGACAGTGAAGCTGGTGTCTTCAACCAAGGAGGTGTTGACGCGGGTCCAGCGGGGTGAGAACTTGTCTTTCTTCTCGATGATGTAGCCAAGGATGTTGGAGCCACCGTCCGAGTCAGGAGGGGACCAATTGAGGGTAACCGAGGTTGGCTTGATGTTAGTGATCTCTGGGGTGCCAGGTGTGTTAGCCACATCTGATGAGAAAAGGTTTGAAAAAGATGTAAACTGAAATTTTATCTTATAGATGAATTCTACTTTGAGTAAAGTTCCAGTTACTACTTCTCATTCTCTCAAGGACTGCATTTAATTAACCATTTCTTTTCTCTACTTCATTTCTAATCCTTCACTGACAACCAAACATTTTCAACTGAATATATATTGACAAACCTGAGTAAAAAGTTGAAAGTTCATCAGATATCAGTTTAACCCCTGTTCCAATCAGATCTGTTTTAAATGTCATTTCACTTACCGTATGGTGGTTTAGCAACTTTGTAGCCAGTCGACTCACTGGGCTTCCCAACTCCTGCTTTGTTCTCAGCAGCTACTCGGAACTCATACTCAGTGCCCTTCTTCAGACCACTCACAATGTATTCGACGTCTTGAATGCTGTAGTCATTGACTCGTGACCAGCGAGTACTGAAGCGGTCTTTCTTCTCAATGACATAACCGGTGATGGGACTACCTCCGTCCAATGTGGGTGGAGTCCAAGTCAATGTCATAGAGGAGGCAGTGATGTTGGAGATGGTAGGCTGGCCTGGTGCATCCGGTTTGTCTGAAAGATGAAAGTTTCCAACTTTAAACATTCCAACTACAATTCAATCAACAATCATGAATGACAATTACAACAGTTGCCTAAGATTATGCAAACTATGAATTGTTATGTTGAACAATACTGGAAACTTTGTATTCTCTTTTTACGAGACATTTGAAGAGATAAAATAAACTGCAATAAATTATCTTCTAGAAAAAAATATAATAAATTTAATAGAAATTTTGTAATAACACTTGCATTCAACAGAGAATGCTCAGACCTCAAAAGAATGCATGTGCTTGTCCCAGAACAATTAGAAACCTACACCTGCAAATGATTTTCTCTAACAATTGTATCAAGTAAATTATCTTTAAATTAAGCAATGTAGTGAATTCAAAGAACCCTCACCATAAGGAGGTTTGGCAATGGTTGACCTCGATGGTTGGCTTGGTTCTCCAATTCCTGCCTTGTTCTCCGCACTGACTCTAAACTCATACTCTGATCCTTCAATCAGGCCAGTCACATTGTAAGCAGTCTCTGTAACAGTCTCCCTGTTTACTCTTGTCCAGCGGGTGCTCATGCGATCGCGTTTCTCAATGACGTAGCCAGTGATAGGGCTACCATTGTCAAACTCGGGCGGAGACCAAGTCAGGGTCATCGAGGTGCTGGTGACATTGGAGAGTGTTGGAGTGCTTGGAGCAGATGGGACTCCTAAAACAAGAAAAAAGAAAAAATATTTAAAAAATATGTAGTTAATGAGTATTCGGAACTCCCATTTTGTTCCATATTGGAAACAGGATTTTGATCCTAATTGCTCGCATCAAATATCAAAACTTAACCTCAAGGCATACACAGGCATTTCTTTAGCAATAATAAAAAAAGAATTTTGCTCAGCGTAGGCACTTCAATATGCCACTTAGTCCAAAATACTTAACACCGTATAGTAAGTTCATATTTGGCCAAAAGTGAACACAAATGCGGTTTTGGGACACCAGATTAAATGTTCATGCTGCAAATTCTCCAAGGTTCAACACATTTCAACTCAATGGAATTTCACTGCCAACATTTCATGACATAAAATTTGCTTTGCTTTGGAGTTCATCGGAAGTATGAACCAGCCTTAAGAATCAATAGCAACCACGGTACGGTTCTCGGTCATTAGTGACTTTGAAACTGATTTCAGAAGTGTGGAAAATATTAGTTATCTCAAAGCTGTCATACCAAATCATTAAAGAAATACAATAACTATGGTTTTGAATGTTTGAACGCTGAATGATTTTTTGTCATAGATTTTACTTACCGTAAGGATGTTTGGCAATGACCATTGCTGTAGGCTGGCTAGGCTTTCCTGGGCCGGCCTTGTTTTCTGCAGTCACTCGGAACTGATACTCATTGCCTTCAGTCAAGCCAGTCACCTATACAAAATATACACAGAGTACGGAATAGTAAGAAGTTACTGATACGAAAACTTGTTTGGGCACTGAGAATAGTGTAAAGATGCTGATCAGATGCATACATTTATGATATTGTGTTGCATATCTGACATGAGTGGTAATTTTTCATTTCTAATGGCTTCACATCTTTTCTTACCTATTTTAAAAGGATCAATTTGGAATAAGATAGATCCATTAAATATATTGTTGCATTCCCGCAAATCTTGGAATTCCAGTGCCCCCTCGTTCTCAATCCTTGTATTCCCAGGGTCTCTTATTTAGCTCAGCTATGCATTACGGACATGTAGCAGAGATGCTAATTTTGTATTAAGTTATTCATGCTGTACTCTGGCGTGATCGCATGTTCCTTCACTCCTTTGTCCTTGTGCTTTCTCTGCTCAGTTTGGCATGTCGAAATTCCTCTCCATGTGGCTGCGTGGTTGGGCATGGTAAGATTCCCTGGAATGCTAATGTTCAGGAACCTCAGACTTTGTAACTGTTAATCATTCGCCACAGATGACCGGGTAAGCGCTTTCATGCACCCGGCTTTACACTTTGTACACGTAACTTCTTATTCTGTATTTTACCTTTTTACACACGACACATAGATTCTTGCACACGACTCTAGCAGGAAGTCATGTGACCCTTTGAGATGGAAGATTCTCATTGGTTTTATTAATTCCTAAGCCTCTAGAATCCTATAAATAGAGCAGATTTTCCCCAGCTCAACAGTCAGGTGCAGTGGACCAAACCCTTGTTGTGAGAGCGAGACCTAACATAGTGCGACGGTTGGACCCTGTAACCATATGAATGCTCAGCTAGCTAGCTTGGACTGATGCGAGAGTGGTACAAACTAGCCCAGGTTGCTAGTAAGAGTCATAGTGGCTCATCACCGCTACGTCCGAACCGATTGCCGGGTGAGACACCCCCCTGTCCCTTGTCACCCTTGTCCTGCTAACAAACCCCAGTCCTCCCAGTCTCTACACTGAGCCAATGGTACATAGTACAGCGATTCTATCATTGCGCTCATCACATTGCAGTCCGAGTGGCAGGGCGGTTGGTACATACCGGTGCTGGCCCTGTCCAGCTATCACTAGTCACCGTGGTGGCCCGGGACAGCTCCCACCATGGCCTGGCCCAATGCATGTAGTGTAGCCTAGTTGTGCAATGCTACACATCCGTACCGTACCCACTCCGTCTGACTTGCATTTCCTATGGTCTTGCCAAACCATAGTACAGTTACGCTTGCATACAACTTCGCCTCTCAATAACTTTGCCTTTCATGCATTGTATTATGTTAAGCTACACCTTCTTCAAGCCCACATTGAACTTTGATGAAGAGAAGTGAGAGCAATAAACCAACCATACAGTTTGACTGTCACCCAAACCCCTTGTTTCACGTCCACCCTTTAATAAATTGTTGACCCCAAATATCACATCCCGTAGACACTAGTAAAGTCCATGCTACCATCGATTTGATGTTTAGGGAATGCAACAATATCTACAATTCAATACATTGGTCAATTAAAGAGATCCAACTGCATGATACAAAATTAATACCAGATATGCCCAATACAAACTGAATCAGAACAGCATTAAATCACCACTGCTAATCGTTACCTTGTAGGTGAGTTCAGTGACCGATTCTTTATTGATCCTGCTCCAGCGACTAGCAAACTGCTCCTTCCTCTCAACGATGTAAGTAGTGATTGGGCTGCCACCGTCGCTAGAGGGAGCTGTCCATGTGAGATTGAGTGCTGTGGCCATGATGTCAGAGATATCTGGAATACCAGGTACGCCAGGAACATCTGCGAAATGAAACAAAGAAATATATTCCAATTGGACATCAAGAATTCTTAGACTGGCTTCACATCACATACTCTTGTTGACCTGCTGATACCCACATAGTTGCATCTATTACAAGAAATAGATGTATCATGCATCTTAATGCTTAATAATTCACAATGATGCGCTTGGAAATAACTGGCTTGTCATCAGAAAATTATTCTGATTTTGGCTTGACACCAATAACCAACCAAATTACACTTACACAATATTTTGCCATTCATACATGCAACAAAGTTTCAAGCCTGAAGAAATTTTTAACAGGAAAAAAGTCAGATTCATCAAAAGGATTCTTTGCATTTCTGAAAAGGAAAGCCACTCTTGAAGCACTCACCGTATGGTTGCTTGGCAACCTTCTTCTGAGACGGCTCGCTAAACTTGCCCACTCCAGCCTTGTTCTCAGCTGCCACTCGGAACTCGTACTCAGTGCCCTCCCTCAACTCGCTCACCTTGAAGCTCGTCTCGATCACTGTGTACCTGTTGACCTTGGTCCACTTGGTGGTGAACCTATCTCGTTTCTCGATGATGTAGCCAGTGACTGGGCTGCCACCATCCTCCTCTGGGGGAGACCAGGTCAGTGTCATTGTTGTGCTTGTGACATCAGAGATGGAAGGGGCCTCTGGAGCTCCAGGAACATCTAAGAAACCAGAGAAAATCACAAGAATCGAAAAGATTCAAAGATTAACACAATTTAATTTAAAAATTGTTAGTAAACTTGTAGTGTTAATGAGAAGTATTCACACAGGAATCTGACCATTTACATGATTTGCACAATAACTTCATTGAGAGAAAGGGACATTTGATTTTTACAAAAGGCATCTGATATTAACAAGATTTTACAAGTTTCATGAATGCAAACTTTGTTAATGGAATATTTTCCTCACCATATGCTGGTTTGATAACTCTTAGCTCCGACAGTTCAGATGGTTTCCCAACTCCTGCTTTGTTCTCTGCAGCTACTCTGAATTGGTATTCTTCACCCTCCTTCAAGTCTCTGACAACATAGCTGGTCTCGGTTACCATTTCATCTCTGTTGGCAACAGTCCATCGTGTGGAGAACCTGTCTTTTCTTTCGATGACGTAATTCTTAATGGGACTGCCTCCATCCGATGGCGGGGCAGACCAGGTGATATTGGCTGTCTTGGCAGTTGTGCCGGTGACTTTGGGCTTTCCAGGAGCCTCAGGAACATCTAAAACAAAAGTGAATTGCAGATGTGGTTAATCCTGATCAAAGGAAATTTAAGTATCAATCTCATGAGCGTACTTGAAACGGTGTGAACTGGAATTCTAACTCGTGAGGGTTCAATTTTATTCACTGATTTCTATGAACCACTTTGCCCAAGGAATGCCACAAGCACTGTGATGGCTGTTCTGATGTTACTTGGGTGATCTTTTGGACGTACAGTGATATCATGCACAGTATGAATCTTAATATGCATGGGAAACTACTTAGCTCCTATCCCTTAATGAATATTAACTTCCACCCTGCAGAAATTATATTTCAGCCAACCTCCAAAGTTGATTTGGGAGGCAAAAACCTTACCATATGGAGGTTTAGCAACCACAGGTCCAGCAGACTGACTTGGTTTGCTGACTCCAGCCTTGTTCTCAGCGCTCACCCGGAACTCATACTCATCACCCTCTTTGAGGTTCTTAACAAGGTACGTTGTGTCAGTGACCGACAGCGGATTGACTCGGCTCCAGCGAGTGCTGAACTTCTCCTTCTTCTCTATGATGTAAGAGGTGATGGGTGAACCATTGTCTGAGTCAGGAGGGGTCCAGGACAAAGTCATGCTGGTAGCTGTGATTTCAGAGACAGACGGAGTTCCTGGGGCACCTGGAACATCTGTGGAGAGTAAGAGATTTACCAAAGTAAAGTAAGAAATGAGAAATCACCACAGGGAGTTGGGATGAAAACAGGTGCTTCAGAACAGAACAGCTGCATGACAGCAGAAGTAAAGTCACTGGTAAATTACCATAGGGACGTTTGGCGATGACAGGTGCACATGGCTCACTAGGTTTCCCAGGTCCTGCCTTATTTTCAGCGATCACTCTGAATGTGTATTCAGAATTCTCCTTGACGTCTGTCACCTTCAGTGTGGTTTCACTGACTCGGTCTCTGGTGACTCTCGTCCACCTGGTGCTGTAGGCATCTTTACGCTCAACGATATAACCAAGGACTTTGCTGCCTCCATCAGATGCTGGAGGAGTCCAGGTCAATGTGGTGGAATGTTCAGTGACATCTGTTGGTTCAGGAGTACCTGGGGCATCTGGTGCATCTGTATTTTATAATGCAAGTGTCAATATAATTTGACTTCTGTTTCCAACCACAGTAGCTTGCTAACCTCATATTTCAAGTAATTCTGTTCAGAAAATCATCACATTATTTGTAACCTACCACTCCAAAACCAGGCTGAAGAATTACCAATTTCTATCTGGAAAATGATCTCAAAACACACTTTGAACAAAGCAAATTCTGCAACTTTCATTGACCATAATACCAAGCTTTCTGCAGACAGAAACGTCTACTTTGGATCTTTTTTTGAAGTATGGCAATTAACAGGGGTGGAGAGAAACTGCTATAAATCAAATTACCTACTTCAGATTGGTTTGGGAATGTTGGATCAAATTTATGGATACTCCAGATGTGACGTGTCCTTTTAGAAATCTTACCATATGGTTCCTTTGCCATTGTCGGGGCCGTAGCAGGGCTGAATGCACCCACCCCAGCCTTGTTCTCTGCTGCCACCCTAAACTCATACTCTGTCCCTTCCTTCAATCCTGTCAGGGTGAAGGATGTGTCTTCTGTACTGCTGACGGGAGACCATTTGGTACTGAAGGGTTCTTTCTTTTCGATGATGTAACCCTTGATCTTTGCCCCTCCATCATCTGTTGGCGGTTTCCACGACAGGGTCATGGAATGTGCGGTGACATTGCTGACGGTTGGTTTGCTAGGTGAGGCTGGTGTATCTGTTTTGATGAGATAGTAGAGGATTCATATGAACCACAGACGATTCATATACAACACACTGAACAATTAAAACAAAAGAAGTGCCATTGTTTCCCTTGAAACAATTTGCTCAATATTTTACAGGTCTAAAACCTCAAGGGTAGATTTAACACAATTTGTTGGTTGATGATGGACAGAAAAGGCATTATGACCAAACTCAAAGGTTTAAATTTGTTAGCAGTTATATATAGTGTGGTGTTAAAAACAAATCACAGGACTTCAGAGAAACTAATTTAAGTCATTTTCTATTCAACCGAAAGGGGAGAAACAAGTTCAATGTTTAGTCAAAACATTACTAAAACTCACCAAATGGAAGTTTAGCCACAACAGCATCAGAGGGTTGACTTGTAGGTCCAGTTCCAACCTTGTTCTCAGCACTCACTCTGAACCGGTACTCAGTCTTAGCAGTCAGGTCCTCCACTCGGTGTGTAGTCTCCTTCACAAGGCTCCTGTTTACTCGCACCCATCGGTCTCTTGAAGTGTCCGACTTCTCAATTATGTAACCAAGGATCTTACTACCTCCGTCAGACTCAGGTGCTGACCAGGTTAGGATGAGAGATTTGTTGGTGATGTCAGAGACCTCAGGTTTACCGGGAGCATCTGGTCTTGTGATCTTCAAGTAAGCTGGACTGCTTGGTTTGCCCTGACCAGCTTTGTTCTCGGCCGTCACTCTGAACTCATACTCTGTCCCCTCCTGGAGACCGGTGACATTGAAGATGGTACCCGTGACTGAGGTGATGTTGACCTTAGTCCAGCGAGAGCTGAACTTATCTTTCTTCTCGATGGTGTAATTGGTAATTGGAGCTCCACCATCACTCTTAGGAGTTGTCCAGCTCAGAGTTAGTGATGTTGGCTTCAGATCTGAAATGTCTGGAGTTCCTGGTACTCCTGGCACATCTGAAGGCAAAACAGAATAAACATTGAAAATGTCAATCCTTGTGGTATGGTATTATTTAATATCAGCAATTTTTGATGATGCAAGAGCTTTTTTCTTGTATAAGCAATTTATGCATTCTCAGTTTATGGTACTATTAGTTTTGTAACTCACTATACAAAACTGTAAACTAAATCAATCTACTGTTCAGATGACCAGGTAAATTTGAATTGGTGATAACACTTTGTAAAAATTAACACAAAGTCTGCCGTGTTGTAATCAAATCCATCCCAAGTCCAGTCACAAGTCCTTTCACAAAACTAGTCATGACAGGATGAACCATGAGAAAGAAATTGGCCCAGTTCTGTTGAATAGCTTGACTTGGCCTATTAAAGACTTTATACAAGGACTCATGATGGACTCAACCACAACACCGACATTTTGTAAAATGGTAGATTACCATAAGGCTCTTTGGCAACTGTTGCATCAGATGCCTCACTAAAGCTGCCAATTCCAGCTTTATTTTCAGCAGCAACTCTGAACTCATACTCAAGGCCTTGCTTTAGACCCTTGACAGTGTAAGACGTGTCTGGTGTCTTGGCTACTTGGAGCCACTTGCCAAGGGGTTCCCTCTTCTCAATGACATAATTGGTGATGGGACTTCCTCCGTCTGATCTGGGTGCATCCCAAGAAAGGGTTATGGACTTGGAGGTGATGTCACTGATGGTTGGTGTGGTTGGTGACTTGGGTATGTCTGTTGAAGACAGGATGGCAACAAGAATGCACTTGGAAATTAGGCAACCCTGTAAATGTCATATGAAGGTCTTTAAATAGGTAAGAATTAAAAAAAGAAGTCTTAATCATACTTGTGCTAAATGGAGCTAGATTTCCATTGGTGCATCTTAATTGGTCGGTTGCACCAAAAACTGTCCAATCTTGTACACAAAGCCAATATTTAGGCATTATTTCATTTCATGATATATCAAAACTTTCACAAGGCACTTCATGATATGACTGATAGTATTTATATAAAAGAAGTGTATTTTTGATACTGTTAAACTTCCACATTTTTACATTTCCACATGACTTATTTTGATAATTTGTTACATCTACAGAATGTAAGACAGATGTTTGAAAAGTCACATAACAATGCATGATTTCTAGCTTATAGTAAACCAACTAAAAGCTACCAGCATGAATCAAATAATTAAACTCTTCACTCTGGAACATAAACATACCATAAGGAAGTTTAGCAATCACAGCTTCAGAGGGTTCGCCAGCAGGTCCAGTGCCGGCCTTGTTCTCAGCACTGACTCTAAACTGGTACTCCGTCTTGGCCGTCAGTTCCTCCACTCTTAATGTCGTCTCTTTGACAACAGTCCTGTTGATTTTCACCCATCTCTCCTTCGACGTGTCACACTTCTCAATGAAGTAACCTGTAATGCGGCTGCCGCCGTCAGATTCGGGCACGCTCCACTTCAAGGTGATAGCCTTGTTGGTGATATCACTCAATTCTGGTTTGCCTGGGGCACTCGGAGGGCTGACTTTAAGGGTGGCTGGGTTGCTAGGCTTGCCCAGACCTGCTTTGTTCTCAGCTGTGACTCTAAACTCATACTCCTCTCCTTCCTGTAGTCCGGTGACATTGAACTTCCTCTCTATGATGGAGGAAATGTTGACTTTGGTCCAGCGGGAGCTGAACTTGTCTTTCTTCTCGATGAGGTAGCCAATGATGGGTGATCCACCATCATTATCAGGAGCTGTCCAAGACAGTTTTAGTGAAGATGGCTTGATGTCAGAAATGTCTGGTGTGCCTGGGGCATCCGGTACCACTATATAAACAAAAAGGTGTAATATATTTATTTGTTTGGTTAATCTCACTACCATGGTGTACAAAAAAAGAGGAAATAAACTGAAATATGACAATACTTGGCAAAATCAGTTACTTTTCAAAATACTTTGAAGGAAATTTGTTTTCTTTCATTTCAAGAATTTGTACACATAGATTTAACCCATGTAAACAGTCTGAGAAGGAAAAATATCTTCCATCAGCACTGAATTAGATTGGCCTGTTTCTGAACCTACCATAAGGCTCCTTGGCCTCTGTGAGAGCTGTGGCCTCACTGAAGCTCCCTCGTCCAGCCTTGTTCTCAGCAGCCACCCTGAACTCGTACTTCTGACCTCCTTTCAGTCCCACCACTTTGTGAGAATCTCCATCGGTCTTGGCAACCTGCGTCCATTTGCCGTAAGGTTCTTTCTTCTCAATGACATAAGACGTGATGGGACTGCCTCCGTCAGATGTGGGAGCACTCCAAGACAGGGTCATAGAGTTGGCTGTGATGTCACTGACTGATGGTCTATCCGGTGACATTGGGATTTCTATGGGAGAAAATCAATAGTAATCAACAGAATAGTAATTGGCAATGTCAAAATCAATAAAAATTGAATCGTTTTAATGTTTTTATTTCAGAATGCAAGATTCCACTTTCCATCAACATTCTAACACTAATTACCTTTAGACTCTACTTTTAGACACTATATTTCAATTTTTTTAAAAGTGTACTTGTGTTGTGGGGTGACTTTAAGGAGTATGACATACCGTAAGGCAGTTTGGCTTCCACAATATCAGACGGTTCGCTGGCTGGGCCACTACCAGCTTTGTTCTCAGCAGTAACTCTGAATTGGTACTTAGTTTTCACCGTCAGCTCCTCAACTTGGAGTGTAGTCTCTTTCAAAAGGCTCCGGCTGACCCTCACCCATCGGTCTCTGGAGGTGTCACACTTCTCAACGATGTACCCAAGGATCTTACTTCCTCCGTCGGACTTGGGCATGCTCCAGCTGACCATGACTGCCTTATCGGTCACCTCACTCACATCTGGTTTACCTGGAGCACTGGGCGGGGAAATCTCCAAGGAGGCTGGATTGCTGGGTTTGCCCAATCCAGCTTTGTTCTCGGCACTCACTCTGAACTCGTACTCCGTGCCTTCTTGAAGACCCAGCACACTGAATGTGGTGTCTTGTACTGAGGTGATGGTGGCTTTTGTCCAGCGAGAACTGAACTTGTCTTTCTTCTCCACGACGTAGCCGGTGACTGGGGAACCACCATCACATTCTGGAGGTGTCCAGGTGAGACTGAGGGATGTTGGCTTGATGTCGGAGACCTCAAGAGTTCCAGGAGCACCTGGGACATCTGAAGAAAAAGATAAAACAGTCTTATCTTCTATGATTCTTGAAATCACAAGACTGACGCAACACCTCTGATCTGAAGTCACAAGCTATTCAAATAAACTGCAGTGAATGCATTCCCTTGTCACTATTCACCCTGGTCATTGTGAATGGCCTTGTGACTGACTTTGTGATGGTTTCAACAACAACACTGCTAACAGGACTGAAGTATAGTAAAAATATCCCAAGACTGAATCAGAGTACATTAAGACCAAACATATACTTTGATGAAAATTCCACTTCAGATGAAGATGAATGCCACACTTAATTTGCAATTATTCTTTTCTTTTTTATTCTCATCACTGTTAAGCCTCAAACAAATATTCTGCTTTATGTCCATTAAAAAAATAAGGATCAACTTACCATAAGGCAGTTTGGCAAGTTTGATTTCGCTTGGTTTACTTGGTTTCCCAACACCAGCTTTGTTCTCTGCACAGACCCTAAACTGGTATTCAGACCCCTCCTTGAGTCCTGTCACTTTGAATTCAGTGTTGGTCACTTTGCTGACTTCTGACCAACGGGAGGAGAATTGGTCTTTCTTCTCCAAGATGTATCTTGTGATTGGTGAACCGCCATCGGACTCTGGCACAGTCCAAGTCAATGCCATTTCGGTTTTGTCAACTGAAGTTATTTCAGGCTTGCTAGGAGCACCAGGAACATCTGAAGAACGGCAAAAGTTGATACAGAATAATAACTAGAATATCTTCCAAAATCCATACACAGCTGCTCCTGGGACTTCAAAATACTTCACAATATTGCAAAGCAATCATGAGAAGTATTTCTCATTGCCTGAACTACAGCAAAGAATCAATGTATCTTCTCCTGGTTACAAAACTCTACCACTGTAATTTTAAATAAATCTTACCATAAGGCAGCTTGGCTACAGCTCTCTTTGATGACTGGCTTGGTTCCCCGATGCCTGCTTTGTTCTCAGCTGACACTCGGAACTCATATTCTGCATCCTTCACAAGATCCTTGACTTCAAATGTCATCTCCTTGATGGCTGCCCTAGTAACCTTCACCCAGCGATCCTTGGCAGTGTCTCGTCTTTCGAGATGGTAACCAGTGATGGGACTACCGCCAGTGCTGTCAGGAGCTGACCATGCCACAATGGCCGATTTGTTGTCAATCTTCTCAATCTTTGGAGAATCAGGAGCCCCTGGGGGGTGGATCTTCAAAGCCACGGAGTCACAGGGCTTACTTAGGCCCGCTTTGTTCTCAGCAATCACCCTGAACTCATACTCGGTTCCTTCTTGGAGTCCGGTGACACTGAAGCTGGTTTCTTCAATGGAGGAAGTGTTGACTCTTGTCCAACGGCTGCTAACCTTGTCCTTCCTTTCAATGACATAGCCAGTGACAGGAGATCCACCATCAGTCGCTGGAGCTGACCAACTCAGAGTAAGTGAAGTTGGTTTTTGGTCAAAGATTGTCAGATTCTTGGGTGATTCTGGCACGTCTGTAAGTACAAAGCAAAGGTTTATTGAAAAGCATTCACACAACACATTCGAGTGTATGAGTTTACTAATTGCAAAACAGAATGTCATAATTGAAGTTATAAAGAAATACTATTTTGCAACTTACCAAATGGCAGTTTAGCAACTTTGGATTGGCTCGGCTCACTTGGTTTTCCAACGCCAGCTTTGTTCTCAGCACTGACCCTGAATTGGTATTCAGACCCTTCTTTGAGTCCTTTCACTTTGTATTCAGTGTTGGTCACTTTGTTGACTTCTGACCAACGGGAGGAGAATTGGTCCTTCTTCTCCAAGATGTATCTAGTGATTGGTGCACCGCCGTCAGATTCAGGAGGGTTCCACGTGAGGGTTATCTCCGTCTTGTCAACGGTTGTAATTTCAGGTCTGCTTGGAGCTCCAGGCAGATCTGTTTGGGAGGAAAAGCAGAAGGAACATTTAAGATGTCACATTTACAAATACGATGAGAAATGACCAGGGGAATAAGGTATCCACAGATAAGTGAATGTTTCAATGAAAGCATCCTTCATACAGGTCCTAATTCTTGCTTCCTGCTGAGTCAAAACCACTAGAAAATCAAGGAATGAAAGACCTTACCATAAGGCAGCTTGGCTACAGCTCGCTTTGATGGCTGGCTTGGTTCTCCGATGCCTGCTTTGTTCTCAGCTGACACTCGGAACTCATACTCTGCATCCTTGACAAGATCCTTGACTTCAAATGGCATCTCCTTGATGGCTCCCCTGGTGACCTTCACCCAGCGATCCTTGGCAGTGTCTCGTCTCTCAAGGTAATAACCGGTGATGGGACTGCCGCCAGTGTTGTCCGGAGCTGACCACGTCACAACGGCAGATTTGTTGTCAATTTTTTCAATCTTTGGAGCATCGGGAGCCCCTGGGGGCTGGATCTTGAGAGCAACAGTCTCACTCGGCTTGCTCTCGCCTGCATTGTTGATGGCCGTAACGTGGAACAATGCCTCAGAGCCCTCCTCTAGTGCTTTCACTTTGTATGTGGTTTCCTCAATCAGCTCTGAGGTGATCTGACTCCATCTAGGGGAAAAAGCATCCTTTTTATAGATGAAGTAGCCGGTAATTGGAGAACCGCCATCACTTGATGGAATACTCCATGTCAACTGGATGGATGTTGGTGACACAATGGACAGCTTGACATTCTCCGGTGGTGAAGGAACATCTATTCATGTGAAAAGGAAAAGCATTAAAAGGTCTCCTGAAGTTAAACCACAATATCCTTTCTACAGTGGAATTTGTGTCAAAAAGCAGATTTCATAATATCAATTTGATGAAAATGCAATTTATGTTTTTTGAGGAGGGGAGGTTATGAGTTATGAGTTATGTCCCCTGATTGACAAATCGACAAACTTTGGTCGAAGGCTGGAGATTAAAGATTGAGACCTACCATATGGCAATTTGGCAACAATAGGGTTTGATGGTTCACTTGGATTCCCAACGCCAGCCTTGTTCTTAGCACTGACTCTAAACTGGTACTCAGTCCCCTGCTTCAAGCAGCTGACTGTGCACTCAACATGGATCATCTTGGTCTCCAGAGCATGAGTCCAGGATCTAGCAAAGCTCTCACGCTGTTCAATGATGTATGAGATGATGGGACTGCCACCATCGGACTTTGGAGGAGACCACTTGAGGTGGATGGTCGTTTCTGTCACATTTGAGGGTTCAGGCTTACTGGGAGCTCCTGGCACATCTGTCAGAGCAAATGAAGGAAATATTGTGACATGAAGTTCACCGAATATGAATTTTGAGATTACATAAGAAGGTCTGAAAAAGGCAGTCATGGCACCACAATTAGGGTTGTAAAATAATGCTTTCAAGAACTGCTATGTACAGCAAAGGAAGTTCAAATCCCATGCAATATTTCTTGTGGATTGAAATGTCTATCTGCATCAGCCTGCACTGGGTTACATCAGTGTTAACACTGTGAGATCCTTCTTTCCACTCTGCAAGGTGAAAGTTCTTTAATATTTCTTCTTCAGAGGACTCTTGGATGTACTACACTGCAGAGGTGCAATAAAAGAAGTTTGATTTGAAAAAGTCTTGAGTGTGAGCAAGTATAAATATTGAAATGAAAGTTACCGTAAGGTGGCTTGGCCACTGTCACATCAGAGGGAACACTTGGTTTTCCTGTTCCTGCTTTGTTCTGGGCACTGATCCTGAACTCGTAGCTTGACCCCTGGGTCAGACCAGTGACGTCAAAACTCAAGTCAGTGATTGTTTCCGAAGACACCTTAAGCCAGCGTTTGCTAGAGACATCTCGCTTCTCTAGGATGTAGCCTGTGACTGGGCTGCCTCCATCAGAGTCAGGAGGAGACCAGGAGATTGTCATGGAAACGGCAGTGATATCAGAGACAACAGGCTTCCCTGGAGCACCTGGTACATCTGAAAAAACAATAGATGTAGAATTCAGAATACTGATTACTGATTTACTTAATTCTTCATAATAATGAATCTAATGATTCTTAATCAGAAACCTGAAAAAAACATGAAGACAAAAGATGAAGAAGAAAATCCAGGAAAACCAAAGTCAGAACGAAGATAAATCGAGCCTTAACAATGATGCTAAATGAAAAACAAATAAGGAAGCTATGCATCCACAAAAGAATGAACAAAAAATCTTGCTATTACAAAATATGGAGAAGAAAAATAAGAACATCCCAGTTTCTTCAGTTACTCACCATATTTGGATTTGGCAACTTGAGCCTTGGATGCATCGCTTGGTTTACCAGCCCCAGCCTTGTTCTCAGCTGTCACTCGGAATTCATACTCAGTACCCTCCTTCAAGTCTTTCACTGTAAATGTTGTTTCTGTGATACTCTCCCGCATTGCCTTCACCCAACGTGTGGAGCTTGTGTCTCTCATTTCCAGGGTGTAACCAGTGATGGAGCTTCCTCCATCTGACTCTGGAGGTGACCATGTGACTGTCATTTGACTGCTGTCAATATCTGTGACTTTAGGAGCTGGTGGTTTGCCTGGAATATCTGCAAACAAGAAAATATAAGAAAATATAAACAAGAAAATATTCACGAGTATATTACTTTTTCAGAAAATTATGTAGACTTTCAAGTCAGCAAGTATTATGTAAGAGAGAACTATTACCTGACAGTGTATCACACTTTCGATATGAAACAAGCCTCATCGTATATCACACTTCCGACATTAAACAAGACCAGCCATTATACTTGGACTCAACCTTTAGCTGGAATCTCCCAGCTTCATAACCAACAGAGAAGACTTGTCAAACCCACACAAACTACACACACAAAATATGTAACTGCATGATCAACTCCACTTCTTTTCTCATAGAAGACATCACTCCCAGCTTACCATAAGGAGGCTTGGCTTTCACAAAGGAACAAGCATCACCCGGCTGCCCAGCTCCTCGAATGTTCTCAGCTGTCACTCGGAACTGGTACTCATCCCCTTCTTTAAGGCCAGACACCTTGAAAGTAGTCTCTGATACAGGCTCCTTGGTGATTCTGGACCACCGAGAGCTGAATTTGTCCTTGCGTTCAATGGTGTAACCAGTGATGGGGGTGCCACCATCAGAGTGGGGTGGAGTCCAGTTCAGGGTCATGGAGGTGGCTGTTACATCAGAGATGAATGGTGCACTAGGGGCACCAGGGACATCTGTGGAAAAAGTTGGTATTTGTAAGTTTCAATCACACAAATCACTGTTATAAAATCATCTTCCAAACTTGATATGTGATTGCCTTATTAAACAGTTCGCGATGCAGTGTTGCAGTCAAGTTCATCACAAGTCTTTTGGCAAGTGCAGTCACAGGCAACAAGATTAACAATGATCAAGGAATGATTTTGTCATGGTTTCTTTGCATAGCCTAATTGTGAGTTGGCTAGAGAATGAATAGTTTTGGGTTGGCTGAACAACACTTACCAGAATTATGCACTAAATACTGCAAACAGTAGTGACTTTAATTATAAAGGTCCTACAGAGCTTTTATTATCAAACTTCGGTCTTCCTACAATTACAGTCAAATGTCTGCATGTTAACAATATCTAAATGGAACCCTCCAAAAATGAATGATTTGATTGGGATTTGGATGAACATCAAAGAAATAAGAACCATTCTAGACATTTGTTACAGATATTGAGATATCTTTTCAGCAGAGTTGCTTTCTTATATTTTGATTGGTAAAATAACAATGTTCCTGATCGATTAAAAATACTTAAATTCACACTGACTCTTATTTTGGAGAATAAAGTGTAAATAAAGACACACTCACCATATGGTGATTTGGCAGCTGTTGGTTTGGAGGAATCACTGGGTTTGCCAGCACCCGCCTTGTTGAGAGCAATCACTCTGAACTGGTATTCATTGCCTTCCTTCAACCCATCCACAGTACAACAGGTGTCAGTGGATGGTACCTGGGTCACCTTGCTCCAGCGTGGACTGAAGCGGTCTTTCTTCTCAATGAAGTAATCGGTGATGTCCTTACCACCGTCAGATTTTGGTACTGTCCAGTCCAGCTTCATAGAGGATTCTGTGATGTCAGAGATCTTGGGGATGCCCGGAGCATCTGGTACATCTGCAAAAGAAAAAAGGTTTTGATATTGCTAAGATTTATGGCTAAATACAATTTATTTTGAAGTTACAATTTTAGCAACATAGATCCTGTCAGTTTCCCTAAGAACATTTGTCCATCAATCACATACCTAATTCTGTTTAATGAATGCAATGGATGGTTCAAAATGGTTTGTGAAAAGTTCAATTTGGTTGTATCTCTTCAAATCCAAATGTTTTTTCTTACCATAAGGCAACTTTGCCTTGATAGCAATAGAAGGAGCACTAGGTTCGCCCACGCCAGCCTTGTTCTGTGCACTGACTCTGAATTCATACTCTTTTCCTTCGATCAGATCGGTAGCAGTGAAGCTGTTGTCCATCAGGGGTGTCTTGTGAGTCTTCACCCATCGGTCTCGGCCGGCATCTCTCCTCTCAACAATGTAACCAGAGATCTCTGCTCCACCATCGTGTTCCGGAGGACTCCATGTGACTAGGACAGAGGTCTTGTCAATGTTTGAAACATCAGGACTATTTGGAGCATCTGGTACGTCTAAAAATAAAAATCGTACAATTACAGATATTCATAATATGATCTTTCAACATTTCACTGAGAATATGAAGATGACAGCTGAAATCATTCAAGATCCATTTTGGAGGACGATACTCACCATACGGTGGTTTTGCTTTCTGGGGACCAGCTGCCTCGCTGGACTCACCAATACCAGCAATATTCTCAGCGCTAACCCGAAACATGTAGTTAGTTCCTTCCACTAAGTCTAACACGGTGAATGTCAGGTCAGTTATCAAGTCTTCCTTGTGAGCTTTGACCCAGCGTTTCCTGTCAGCATCACACTTCTCGATGATGTAGCCCAAGATGTCAGCCCCACCGTCATCGGTTGGCGGAGTCCAGGTCAGTGTCATGTGGGTGCAGTCAACATCAGATATCTCTGGTATACCTGGAGAACCAGGGGCATCTGGTGGGGGAAAAGAAGATGTAAAAGATCAAATACAAATCAACTTCTTATCTAAAAGAACGTGAAAGCTATCAATTCTCTGTCCCCAATTTTTTTCAAAAAGTGAAATGCAATCAAGTTTCAAGTTTCCTTTAGCATAATCAAAGGGTGACGACTCAAATCAACACCACGAGTTTCATATTTTTGGTGGGCACCTAATCTTACCATATGGTGGTTTGGCAACTGTCTTGTCAGAGGCTTCGCTTGGCTTGCCAATTCCGGCTTTGTTCTCTGCTGACACTCTAAACTGATACTCTGTGCCCTCCTTAAGATCTATTACTGTGTACACTGTCTCTGAGATGGAGGTCTCTTTGACCTTTAGCCACCTTGAGCTGAAGCGGTCTTTCCTCTCAATGATGTATCCAGTGATGGGACTGCCACCGTCTGATTCTGGAGCTGTCCAGGTCAAGGTCATGGATGTATTGGCAATTTCAATGACGTCAGGCTTACCTGGAGGTCCTGGCACATCTGTGCAACGATAGACAGAGACTGAAAATCAACTCACTTTTGGTTCCATATATATGCCATTGACTAATATGGAAGTCACTTTGCTCAGGTTAAACCAAAAATAGAATCAATAGTTGCAAATTTACTCACTATAAGGTGGTTTAGCTGTTCTTGGTTCTGATGGAGCACTGAATGGTCCTGTTCCAGCTTTGTTGGTGGCAGCTACATGAAACTCATAGTCTTTGCCCTCGATAAGATCTTTCACAATCAGTGTTGTTTCTCTGATTGAGTCTCTCTGAACTTTCGTCCACCTTGTTGAAGAGGTCTCTTTCTTCTCTACGATGTAACCAGTGACTGTGCTACCACCGTCAGACTCTGGAGGTGACCAGGAGATGGTGATCTGTGTTCTGTCCACTGCTGTTACCTCAGGCTTCCCTGGGGCTCCAGGAGTATCTGTTAAATGATGTTCGTCAAAGACATAGGTTTAATTTGAGAACCCTCAAGATGGAATTTGAAGAAGAAAATATCAAAAAATGCATTATTTAAATTATAACTAAAAACTACACAGAAAGAATCTTACCGTATGGTGGTTTAGTGATTCTTGGCTCTGATGGAGCACTGAATGGTCCGGTTCCAGCTTTGTTCATGGCAGCTACACGGAACTCATATTCCTTGCCCTCAATCAGATCTTTCACAGTCAGTGTTGTTTCTGTGACTGAGTCTCTCTGAGCTTTTGTCCATCTTGTGGAAGAGGTCTCTTTCTTCTCAACGATGTAACCTATGATGGGACTGCCACCATCAGATTCTGGAGGTGACCAGGTGATGGTGATCTGTGTTCTGTCAACTGCTGTCACTTCAGGCTTCTCTGGTGCTCCAGGAACATCTGTTAAATGATATTGATTATAGCAATACATGTTTGTGGAGGAAAATTCAGACAAC